TCATCCTTCCCCCCGTCCAGCCTCTCTGTTCCACCCCTCCCCGGCATCCTCCCCGTTCCACCCTTCAACGCCATCGTCCCTTTTCCACCCTCCCGCGTCATCCCCCCCCCTTATATTCGTTTGTTCCCCTCCCCCTCTATCCGCATCGGCATGACCCAGCTGCCCCTCCTTGTTTAATCACCCACCAAACAGTCCCATAACCAGTGACATGTATTCAACGATTGGGTGCAATCAACAAATGCTACGTAATCAGTAACGTCTAATCAGTGACGTAATCAGTGACATGTATTCAGCGACACGTAACCAGTGACACAGAAGAACAGTATCACGCGCCCAATCAGTTACACGTAATCAGCGATGTCTAATAAGCAGTCATGACATGCAAATAATCAGTGACACGTAACCAGTGACACATAAGAAGAGTATCAGTGACACGTAAGCAGTGTGATTGGATTAGACGCAAAAGGTTTAACCAACATGCAGTCGGTGATTGAACGCAAAATACACTCTGATGCATCCAATCACTGATGATGATCTGTCGTTTGTTTTTTGGGTTTTCCAATATTGTGAAATCCATGTCCATTTCGTTTTCTGTTGCCACAATTCTCCCGCCCATGCCACAGGCGCACTCCGACGCCCTTCCCTGATGCTCCACGTGTAGTCATTTGTGCCCGTCAACCACGTCTCCTCATCACTGTCATCACTCCGTCCTCCTCCTCCTCCTTCTCCTCCACAGCCCCGTCTACTAGTACTTATCGCCGTCTCCTGTCCCGCCCCACTCCTCGTCAACGACGCCCAGACCGCCCCACTCACTCGCTTTCCGCTTTCGGCGTCGTTAACTCCTGTCGTCTTTACTGAAATACCACCATCAAGTCCTCCTCCTCCCCCTCCTCCTTTAGTGGAATCCCTCCTCCCTCCCTCTCCGATCTCCTCAGAATCTTCATCCACATTTTCCTACTCCTCGGGGGAGAGCATTCCCCCCTTCCGCTCCCTACTGGATCACATAATGACTATGGTAGCCCTATGTCATTTAGACGAAAACCGGATCGAGGAGGAGCGTACTACTACAGACTGGGTACTTCTTTATTTGGAATATAACACTTCAACGACTTTGTAATTGACTCATGGACATGGACATTCTTGTAAACTGCCAATGACGTATTTGAAGCAGTGATAACACGGTTTAACAATGGTCTATTCATTCTTTGTATCAAGAAAATGCAAAGAATTCTCTATCAAACAGACCGCCCTCAACAACATAAAGAAGAAAATGGAATAGCGCCCTGCCTCGGACGTTCTAGTGCTCAAAGATACTCGTCTCCAGAGGTGTTTTGGAAAGACCTCTCTGATGATTTGATGGGTGAAATATTGCGTGGTAGTCTGGGAGGAAAGGATCTTGGGAGAAATCCGAAGGGCCAAAGGACAACATCATTACAAGAAAG